TTCACGAATCATCGCCCGCCTGCATGCTCCCAAAACAGTTATCAGTCGGGGCGGCGGGAGGCGGCCCGCGCACTCCGGAGGTGCATTATCCGCCTGGCTCGGGCTGCGCTGCGCTGCGCTGCGGTGGGAGGTGGAAGGTGTCGTAGCCGACAGTCGCGGGGCGGAGCTCGCACCCGCTTGTACTGTCTATCGGACTGGCTTATCTATGGAGATTGACATGAGCATTATGCTTCGCTTGATCGGATCTTGGGTTTAGGATTTACAAGAAAAAAGAGTTGCAGATTGATAAGGGTGGATGGTGGTGCGGGTTTGGCCGTGGGGAGTTTGGGCGGATGTTGCACGCCTAAGTAGGCCTAAGCATATTGTAGGGTGACAAGGTGCGGAATATAGATTAATGTATAAAAACGCGTAGGGGTACATTGAAGCCAATTCCGCATTTAGGGATGTTCTGCTTGGTCGAGCAGTTCTAGGAACAAGCATTTTCACACACGAATACAGCCCAATTTGAAACATCAACAGGGTACAAGTAAATGATTTGTGTCATGGATATTTATTGTACTTTGTTGAATGCTTTAGTTTTCTCTATGTACCAACAACCATACTGACACCACATCACGCACCACCTCGGTTTGTTCATTACTCCTGCCGAGAGGAACATATATTGTAGAAAGTAAATAGGATTATCATCTCAAGCCCCGTTGTGACTGTAAACGCCAAAGGTGGTGAAATCTCTTTTGGCCAGCAGAATGAACAAAGAAAAAGAAAATTACATTCCTGTATACAAGAAATCTAGAATTCCTGGTCATCGTCACCTGAGATGATGACGTTGTTGATCTGCGCAGTGGTCACTTATTAGCCTGCTTGTCTGTGGTTGACAGTTGTAGGAGCAAGCTTACCTTAAGAACCATGCGGCAAAGCTGGGTGGCGAGCAGGAGCTGCGAACGCTTGCCGATCAAGGGGTCGATGGCGAAGTGCTCTCTCATGTCTAAGCAAGAAATGTTAGTTGGAGTTGCACAGCAGCAAGAGGTGTTGTTTGAGGGCGACAAGAACGTACCGTTGTTGCCAGTCAACATGCAGTCAACACCCAAGCGGGAGTTGTTCTCCTTGACCTGGCGCGACTTGATCGAAGCCAGGGTCTCAATGGGGCTCAGACCGGAGTTCTCGGCCAGCGCCAAGGGGATGGCGTCCAAGGCATCGGCGAACGCGCGCATGGCGTACTGCTCAATACCAGGGCTCTGCAAGAATGTTAGACAAATGACTCAAAACTAAGTCCAGAATTTCGCCAAGGGGCAATCTTCACGCACCTTCACAGCAGCATCCTCAACAGCGATGGAGCAGGCAATTTCGGCAGCACCACCACCGTAGACAACACGGTTATCGCGCACAAGGTTGCGCACAACGCAAAGAGCATCGTGTAGCGAACGCTTGGCCTCGTCAATGATCTGGTGGCCATGGTCAGCATTCGGTCACGTCAATTCCATTCAACCGTCCAACTGACCATCTTGTTGCTTCCTCGTACGAAGACCGTGACGGCACGGCTGTTGGCGCACTCCTCGATCACCAACATCTTCTCCCGGGTAGTACCGAAGGTCATTTCGCGAACGCGACCGGCAGTACCAAGCTTCTCGGGGCTCAGATCCTCAAAGCGAGGAACAATGCGACCGTTAGTGGCGATAGCGATCAACTCAATCTCGGGTCCACCAACCCAGCGGACAGCAGGGAGCTTGTTCTGGAGCAGAAGGTGGTTGGCTTCGTCATCGAAACCCCACTGGCAGATGACCAGGTTGGCTCCGGAATCCTTCAAGTTCTGGATCATCTCTGTGAACTTCTCCCTCTCGTAGTCCTGCAACTTCTTGAACTCCTCCACGGATGTGATGTCGAGCTTGTGCTTGGTCTTGGGCTTCGGGGGCTCAAACGGACAGGTCAAGATAGCCAGCTTAGCATCCCGGACCTCATCCGGCATCTGAGGGTGAGAGAAGTCCTTGTCGACAATAACACCCTTAACGAGGAGAGAGTCCTCGAGAGCACCTCCAACCTTTCCGTCAACCTTGATCAGCTCGAAATCGACATCCTTGCGCTCGAGGTCGGCCACGGAGAGGACAGCATCGATGGCAATCTTGGCGAATTGGTCGTGGGACTTGGAAACACTGTAGAGAGGTCAGATATGATTGACTGCAGGACTCATGATGTGGTCACCGTACATCTTGGAACCCAAACTCGTCTTGGCAACCTTCAGGAGGTTGGAGGTGTCCTCCTTTGAGAACGGGATGTCATCGCTGATCTTGTCAAGTTGTGCAATCGCGATCTCACAAGCCTGATCGTAGCCGTCTGCGATCCGGATAGGGTGGATACCCTTGTCGATGAGTTCCGACGCTTGCTCCAGCATGGCTGCTGCCAGAACCACAACACCGGTAGTTCCGTCACCGATTTCCTCGTCTTGAGACTTCGACAACTCAACCAAAAGCTTGGCAACGTTGTTTGTGATTTCCATCTGTCCGAAACCTTCAAGTCAGAACATTTGCCAGGGGAGGACTGCGGGGCGTAGGTGTTGGCACGAACCTGGCCGAGAATAGTAGCGCCATCGTTCGTCACGGTGATATCGCCATCGGGGGAAATAAGGATCTTGTCAAGACCGCGGGGACCCTGGAATAGTCTTTAGGATCGGAATCGAGACGCATCTAGCATTCGTCAGGCGACATATCATACCAGGGATGTCTTGACGATGTTGGCAACCGTCTTCGCGGCGACAATGTGTGACTTGACGGCTTCAGTACCATGCTGTCTCTTCTTCTTGCCTTGACTGTCCGGATAAATAGCGATCAGCGACATAACCTATACCGACGAGATTGTGGGGATCGTAACGTACTCTCGAACAACGATGAACGGCCGGCCTTGTTCATCCTTCATCACAGAAGCTGAGTGTGGCAGTCAGCGACTCGGGACTTGTATCATAATGACGAGGATAAGTAGCGGAGGGGTCAACCTTGAGACAAATCAAGCTCTGTGATCACAAAAAAAAGACGTTAGCAACTTGGTCCAAAGTGAGGGGTATTAGAAACATACGCATAGCCATTTTGACGGTCTGCCCACTTGGCGGGAATCTGGAGGGGAGGGGGAGGGGGAAGTTTAAAACAAAGCCCACACGTCACAGATTGAAAAGTCGACGGGGAAAGAAAAGAGCCCCCAAAGAAGAGATTAGGAGACAATGAGGGGGAGTAATGATAAAACAAGGGGGAGGGGGAGGGGAGAGGGGATGCTTTAACCGGCACAACTTCAAATGACGGGCGATTGTAGAAATTCATCTGGAGATGGAGGAGCCAAAAGCGGGCTAGTGAGCTGCTTGCCCAAAGGGGCTTAGCGTAGATCTTCCACCGCGCGCCTGCGCGACTTGCCAGTAACTACTCCGTAACCATTTCACGGTCCATGTCACTCTTTTTACTGCTACTCCGTAGTCTTCCCAATTCTCCATCCCCCAAATTTCTATCGGCTTGCGGTCGGCGCATTGTTCGCGCTCATCGATCTGAGAAAGCCATCTGAGTCAATTTGACGACGCATCTCGACCGCCAAGCTGTTTTCACGACTCTTCAATCTCGCCGCATCACCGTTCCAAACAACAACAATGCCTCGTGCGTATCAACTGCCCATGACCGCGCGTCTCAACCGGTTGCACGAACAGGTTGACTGACTATTCGTCGTTACCATCAGCTCCGGTGACCGACGTGTCCGATGACGAGTCGACTGGCGAGTCTATTCCTTACGAGGAGGCCCCCGCACCCAAGAAGCAGGCAAAGAAGGTTGTTGACGATAACGAGGATGATGAGGACGAGGACGAAGAAGAAGAAGAAGAAGAAGAAGAAGATGTGTGAGTGCGGTCGGGTATTATTCAAGTACACTCGAAGTCCTGACTTGCGCAGTTACCATGTCGAGAAGATTGTCAGTCATGAATGGGGAAAGAAGGTGCGCGCCGCTCTCATCTGGGCCTGGTGCTCAATTACAGCTACCTTGGAAGCTTCGCTAACTCTGCGACAGGGCGAACTGCTCCTGCAGGTGAAATGGAAAGGATATGACGACCCCGCCGACATGACATTTGAACCAGAGGGAAATCTGTGCGTTCTTCGCTTTTACCTTCACCTTTGCACAAACCGAACTGACCCAAATGATTTTGTCTAGCGATGGTGCACAGGAGGCGGTCGACGAGTACTTCTCTAAACTAGGTGGCCGTCCGGAGAAGTCTCAGACCAAGAAGCGCAAGTCTCTGGGAAGACCTCCTAAATCAGCAACCCCCGAAAAGACGCAGCCGAACAAGCGGAGAAAGTCTCGAACAAACGAGTCACCGGAGCCCCAACCAGAAGAGGATAGTGACTCGAGCTCGTGGGTGCCCAAGGGTAAGAGTTGGGAGAAGGAGGTGGATACCGTCGACACTATATTCCGCGACCCGAGCACGTCGCAACTGCTTGCCATCTTGAACTGGAAGAATGGCAAAAAGTCCAAGGTCCTTATTGAAACCTGCTACGAAAGATGCCCCCGAAAAGTATGTGCTCCTGTGGTCCTTTCGACCCAAGAGAGAATAATAGCTGACAACCGCCAAGATGCTTGAATTCTATGAGTCCCATTTGTAAGTAGTCACTCATACTCCAGAACGACGCTGCATAGGCTAACATCACGGTAGGGTTTTTAAAGAAGGTTGAGATACCAGGTGGAGTTTGCCGTCTCTTTTCCTCCCAGCAGATTTGGGTGGAACATCCAGGCATTTGCCGTCTTCTTCCCTTGGTATCTTTCCTAATGATGCGATTAGTGGTCACGAAGCGTTGACAACGAACCATGCATATGGGTGTTCTGTCGGGGCTTTTCTGATCACCATTTACTAATGCTATGACTGTAAGATAGACCCTCCTTTGGGTAGTTCTTGGACATGGGAGGTCAGCGGAGGGCCCATAATGAGCCAAGATGAACGAGCACTTGCACACATCTTGAAATACATCTTGCTTCTTTCTTCCGTTGCCATCTTCGTTATATTCCCGGGTCTTTCTCTGAGTTTTGTTTCTCATTTGATCGCCTAGCGTTTCCCTGTATTCTAGTTGCACATTGTCAAATTTCCAGTTTGCGGTGGACTTGTCATTCGATGGTTTCCGTCTCAAGACCAGCAGCCCTTGCCATGCTGAGATATTCCCACCTAGCATCGAAAGCTTCCGCACCATGTTTCTCTAGGACCCGCTGGATCCCTCGAGTCTCTTTTCCTTCCACACACCTGTCATCTCCAGAGGTCCAGACCCCCGGAATATCGTCTGGAATGTCCTTTCCGGCCACCATGAACTCGAGTACCTTGTCTGCCAAGTCTGGGTCCATACTTGTGCAGCGTAGGGCCTCGATGATCTGTGCCTCCGTCGCTCTGCCATTTCGAAGGCGGCGGTCAATCCAAGTGTCAATATCCTGCTCCGGGATCTCTGGCTGAGGGTGGGGAACGGGTCCAGGCTCAGGACTTGAAGGTAAGAAAGGAAGCTGAAGGAATAGAGAATCTATCTCGGGGGTATTTAGGACGGGGTCAGCGCCATTTTGTGGCTTATCGGTGCCAGTCCCGGACTGTTCCGGAATGGATTGTTGCTCGACTTCGTTCGTAGTTGAGGGAAGCTTCTCCCCACCAATCGATGCCTTTGGATCGGGGGGTTGTGGAGGCCTCACAGGCTCCTTCCCTTTGTGCCGGCGGCGTGCAGGTGCAGCTTCTACACGTTCTGGCACGGGCTCAGCGGTTCTCTTTTTGGGAGCTGAACGATGCACTGGGCCAGGTTGATCCGATTCGTCGCCAGTCTCCGATACACGTTTTCTCTTCTTGTCGGCTGGTTTGCTCGAAGAGGGCACAGTCTCATGCTCCGGTGCGAGAATTGCTGGCGGCTGAGATTGCGCTGTAGGGGCCGTCACCTGTGCAGGAGCAACCTCCTGCGAAGGCCTTTCTTCAAAAGCAGAGCCCTTGGGCATACCCCCCGGACGCGGACGACCACGTAGCCTCTTTAAATAGCGGTCACGCCATGATTGAAACGTATGTCTGGGATTCTAGGGGGCATTTCAGCACGATTGGACATCTCTGCGGGGATCTAAAGATCGAAGTGGATCCTACCTTCGCTGCGAGTTCTTGGTAGATCTTATTCCCCGAGATAGAGGCTGTTGAGTCTCGCTCATACTTCTGCATCCAGTCCCATAGAAACTGGTCATCCGCGACAGTGTAGGGCACTTTGTGATTTCGCGTAGGAATGTATGAAGCGCCAACTGGTCGAGCTTCTGATGGCCCGGCTCTGTAAGGCTCTAGATTCTGCATCCGCCCTTTGCGAATGGAGTCTTCGATGAACTTGAAGGAGTATCTATGCATAAGTGAGTTGGGAACATCTAAGCGGAGTGGAAATACTCACGTGTCCGGCGGGAGATTCCTCCGTTTGTGATCGACGATTTTAATTTCTGCATCTTTCTCGAATAGCCTTATGTGACCTCCGTGTTGCTTGATCTCGTATTAGGTGGGAGCTCGCCATGCAGTCAAGGGAAAGCCATGAGTACCTCGATAAGTTCTTTGAACCTGTTTCTTTGGGGAACATTGTGTGAGAGCCAGAAGTGCTTTCCTCGGAAAAGCGTCCCATTCGCGGTTATTGGGGCCTCATGACTGACTGCCGTAGTTGCCTCAGCCATAATAATCCATAAGAAGATCCGTTTGGCCTGGAAGCCTTTGGAGTCGCGTCGGAGCTGTTGGACGCCCCTGCAAAGCCCTCCGACGACGCGCTATCACGTGTTTCCGACGTTGAGTATAGATCCAATTGCGTCGGATGGCTTGTATGTCTTTAGGTCAGTCTGTCATGTGCTTATAGCAAGACCAGCTTCTCATGATGGTATGAAATTGTTAACGCAAGGCTATTCTCTGAGCGGTTGAGACAATTAGAGGCAAAGGCGCTTTTTGGTTGTGGTAATCATGGCAATTGTGAACTGGAACTGAAACTCGGCCAGCACCAGCCATTCCCCGTATCTTGGGGAGAAACACGGTCACGTGCACGGCCTGTCCAACGGCCGGTGGGCAACATCATGTCTGGGTAACCTTCATCAGTTCTGCAGTCTTCCAATCATCTTATCTTATCAGGCGAAATATGACGGGGAGTCTGGATTTATGTTCGACATATTTCTTTTTGTCAGCTTTGATGAAATATAACACCAAGCTAGCAGTACCGATGCTGTAGTTGGAATCTTCCTGCGACTCAAAATTGGACCCTCCAAGCTGGCTCGACTCAGAGCAAGATGGGATTGCTACGGACCTTAGGGCTGGCCATCCTCGGAATCTCAGGCTTTGTATTTGTCGCTCTCTTTGGGAAACTGCCTGCGTTTCGGTAAGCTATGTACTGGTCCTCGAATGCAGTGAACTGCGACTGATGCATGCTTGTAGCAAAACCCCAATAGGGTTCCTTCACAGAGTTCTTTGGATACACGTCCCTAGAGGATTTGCAAAAGTTGATGAGCTACTGTTCAGTGGCCGGCTTTTCTCTTGCTGCAGTCGGGCCGGTAACTATATTCTCAATGAGAATCATCCGCTTGTTCTTGTTTGTCTCATGAATCAGTAGTCAAGCTCGCCTCCCTGCTGACTGAACCCAGATATTCTTTGCCTCACTTCTGGTAGCAGGCCAGTGCATGTTTATTCCCGCCGCTTGGGCCAGGATCCCTACTGCCCACCATGTATGGATACCGCTCGTTGTAGCCCTTCCTTATTATTTCTTATATACGAGCATAACCACCAAGTCTTTCATTACTCCCAAAAACCACGCGGAGGAGTTGGAACGCTATCCTTACGATAGGGTCATCTTCCATCCAGGGCACCGCTGCAGTACATGCCGTTTCCTCAAGCCGGCGAGAAGCAAGCACTGCAGCACTTGCAAAGCATGTGTTTCCCGACACGACCACCATTGTGTATGGCTGATGAACTGCGTTGGGTTGCACAACTATCACTACTTCCTGTCGCTGATAGTATCGCTATGCGTCATGCTGACTTATGGCTCATGTCTTGGATATACTCTGCTATACCAGACCTACGACAAACTGGTACCCGCTGACAATCCTTTGCGACACACGCGACAGAGCTGGACGACTTTCTTCAACATCTGGGCTGTAGTGATTGCTGCTGATGTTCGCATTGGCGCGACCACTCTGTTGATGACGATGACAGCCCCTTTGGCGGGGGCCTTTCTCGTATACCATACCTATCTGATTTGGGCCGGTATGACCACAAATGAAAGCTCCAAGTGGTCGGATTGGAAGGAGGATGTTGCCGACGGCTATGTATATAAATCGACCAAGGACGTGATATATGGCAACTCGCCCTTGCTCGCAGAATACCAAGGGTCACCAACAGACTGGCCCATGAGCAGCGAGCAGGTCCTCGCACTCACGGATGGGGAGGCTCCCAAGGAAGGACACCTGTTGTCTCCAGATTCGAACGAAATCTCACAGCCCAGCGACCGAGATGCTCCTATTGACCGGCGGTGGAGCTTGGTACATAGTATGCAGGAGGTGGAGAATATCTATGACCTGGGGTTCTGGGACAACTTGCGCCATGTTTTTGGGCTCTCAATTCGAGCCAAGATGTCATGAAGAGGTATGGGCGTTGTATATAGATTACACTCTATCACACATTTCAGTAGTGATGTTCATGTACATAAATCTTCCCGAATAGGCAGGCAGTCGGCGGCGGCGGGATGGTTCCGGAGCCGGAAAAATTCCCCTCAGCGGGTGTCAATCTAATTATTCCAAAGTTCTTTCCTTCTCCGCCCGCACTGAGTTGGACTTCTTCCCCGCAACAATCAACTCGCGAGGTGCTGCTGCTTAAAACCAACGGTTTTCTCAACTTCGCGCCCAAGATGGCTGACCGGGTAGCAGCGGAGATGAAGCCCAAGTGCACTCCTGCAGAGCTTATGCTAAAGGTTATCCTGACGGGGACCTTGAGCCACTATGAGACCCGGGGTATGATTGATGACAAACGTCTTGAACACATGCTCTCTGCGGGCAAGCAGATTCTCTACAAGACACACCAAGAAAGCGATGTCAGGTGTGTTTCCGAATTATCTCTCCTGCTATTGCTTCAGGCCCATTTTGTTCTGCATCCCCACGCTTGCACCGTTCCCCGCACAACGACCTTGTTGTTAATTAGTGGACTAATCGAGCTCTCTCCAATAGACATAATCTCGGCCTGTCACCGGACATCTGGCAAGGCTTCACAGATGTTTTGACAAAGGCGATTCCTGTTCTCGAGTCCCAGTCGTTCGCTTGGAAAAGCCCCCCGACCGCCAACTACGACCACTCTTCCTCCAACCTCATAGCCTACAACTACTTTTCACTTGTCAAGGACATCGAGCGCCTGAATGACTTGTGTACCATCGCCCGCAATCTCCTCGCCACCACGAAGAAGGCCCAAAACATGGCGGCGGAGAAAGGCTTCGATCAGAGAATCCTAGCCCTGGTCGACACCTGTGTCAGAGTCACGGCGCGGGGCTTTGACGGGGAAACGAACGCCCGGAATGAGGAGCGCTGGCAGAAAGTCGTCAACCTCTACAAGCGCCTTCTGATTACGTGTCTGCAGTTCATGCACAATTTCATCATGCACAATGAGCAGCGGAAAATGGTTTTGTGGCTGGACCTCTTCGGATACCATTCTACGGGAGATTCAAATATCATTCAGCCCCGAGAGCCGCTTGATCCGGCCTTCGCTCAGCCCGAAGGAATGGCGCCGATTGTCAAAACCGGAGAGCGGATAGTCAACCCCCCAATCCGGGCTCTCTATGATCAGACTGCGGAGGACCTGCTTTTAGAGACAATCTCCAATTTCCCCCGGGAACCCGCAACGATCAAGGAGGAGGCGGCCATGCTGCTTCTTGCAAACATCAAGGACCACATGGAGAAGCTGCTCGGGCGCGATTTGACCGCCATACAGGAGATGGGCAAAGATCCGGAGCAGGTCAAGGAAATCCGCGCAGCCCTGACTGCTATTCTCGGTGCCAAGGTAGATGGGTGGTCTGATCTTCAGGACAGAGCCAAGGACCTTCCGCCAGCCCTACCAGAAGACGAACCTCCTCGGAAGAAGGCGATTGTGACGATAGATCGGAGCTTAACAGCTGGCTTCCCACGCGTTTGTTGGACCGATCTCCCCGACCTTAGCGAATATGGGGCGCTTTCGGCTGGTGATGCAGTTGTCATGGAGGAAGATATGAGTATGCCCCGGTCTGCTCAGTCTGCGGCCGGAACTCTACAGGAAGCGAAGGACGAGTTGATGGCGCGACTGCAAGAGAGCTCCCAGATCGGTGGTGATGGAGATCAGGACTACGATACTGGGGATGCGGGCACAGTTGGTGATGACGACTCGCGCAGCCTGGAGGCCGTCGCAGACGGAAGCATGGAGGAGGAAGAGGAAGAAGATGATGAAGATGACGACGATTACCGCGGCCGTCCAGGAGACCAACAACGCGGCCTCTTAACGGATATACCGCTTGTGCTAGGACCCGCAGAAATCGAAGCGCTTCCAATGATCATCCAAGCGGGTATTGTTGACAGCTTCGGGTTGAAGGGCGGAGAAAGGACGGGGTCGCGGAATATGCAGGCTCTGCGATGCCATATTTTGCTGACGCAGGAGACTGGTCGCAACCTTCTGAGAGAGTTGTTAATCTTCATTGCTGCCTGGGATCTTCCCGATGACGAGCTCTACTTCAAGATGATGGTCCAGATCATGGATGCGGTCCTGAAGAACGGTCTTATGTCGCACGCATACTCTGACTTCGGCCAGCCCAAGGACATCATTTCTCCTGCGCAGGCGGTCGTGGTCAAGATTCTTACTCACATCTTCCGAGCCAAGTATTCTCCAGCATCAGTCACCGGCACTTCTCAACAAACCGCAACCAAGAGTCCGGCCCCTCTGTCTCGAGTCGATATCCTTACCGTTCGATACATCTTCACCATATTCCGGGGCAACATCATTCCTGAGACATGCGCTTTGATCTACTTGCAGGGGCAGATCCGCGCCGGAAGGGCTCTACCAGAGGACTTCCCGCTGAACCTATGGGATATGGAGCGGGTCTACGAAGGTGTCTACCAGTTCCTGGAGTTTTTCGCTGTGCTGACCGAGAATAACGACTGGAAAAACCTGCTTGTCAAGTGGGAGATTGTCTATGATCTGGTGACGTTAATCAAGGAGCTTGAGGCCAGCATCCCCAAGGGCCAACTGAGTTCTCTTACTCTGGGAGGACGCAACAGCCCTTCCCGGGATCATCAATCCAGCTCGGGCTCCGGACCGGTAGCAGTCGAGAGACCATACGATCCCGGTGACCCCGATTCCGTTGATGCTGGGCCGGGATCAAGAGCAGAGTCGCCACCGATCACGGAGGATCCGTCGGAGTTTGAGTGGCGCAACCTGAAGAAGCTGGTTGTGCTTGTTCTCTCGTCCTTAGTATGGAAGTGTCCCGAGGTCCAGGATCAAATCCGGCGCTATGGCGGTGTGGAAACTATCCTGTCCTGCACCAACTTCGACGCTCACAACCCCTACATCAAGGAGCATGCAGTGATGTGTCTGAAGTTCTTGTTGGAAGGTAACCGCGAAAATCAGAAGATGGTTGAGGAGTTGGAAGCGCGCGAGGTGGTCAAGGATGACAACGGGGTTCTGGAGAGGAGTGGCCTGGAGGCTATCATCGACAAAGCGGGCAAGTTGGCTCTTCGACCCAAAGAGGAGCTTTGAGTTGAATTGAGATGATGGCTTAGCTACGCTATTTTCCCTGACATGATAGAAATAGAAAAGAAATAGTTCATGAATGCAACGTCTCTATGCAAGTTCAACAGTAAACCTCGCGGTTCCACAGCAGGTTTCCGGAACACTATGCCCTTCTCTTTATTGCTCATAGCACCTATCTGTAAACCTAACCATACATGCCATCCCACTCCTCCTCCTCATCATCCACCGCCGGCTTCCGCCGCGCCTCCGCCTTCTCCCTCTCCTGCTTAGCGAAATCCGTGCGATCCAGCGGGCACGTTCCCCGCAGCCTCAACCACGGCCGCACGCACTCCAGATCAAACAGATGCGTCGGATGGCACGGCAGCCGCACGACAAGGGGGTACTGATCCTCCAGGAACGGGTTATTGCAGATCGGACAGACCTGCGATGAGTTCAACGACGCCTTTGGCACGCGATCGAGCACTACACGAATAGCCGCATAATTAGCATTAACTCAAACCCCCTTCTGTCCATTTCCCCCAGCGAACCACTCCCCCCTAAACCCCCCATTACACCCCATTACACCCCCCGGAAAGGAGAAAAAAAAACAACAAGAAACAAGAAACATACCATCACAAAACTCCTCACTCACCCCCTCCACCTCCTTGGGCGGCCGCTCCGCCGACTGCAACAACGACCCAATCATTTCTGTAAGGAGCTCATTGCCCCCTCCATTGGCGTCCGTATCCTCCGGCCCGAAGCTGGGGATCCCTCCCGCTGCGGCCGCCGCGATGGTGGCCCCGCCCCCGCCCCCGCCGCCGTCGCGGCGCATCACGTTCAACGCTTCGGCGAGCGTGTAGAAGGCTGCGCTGATGTCGCGGGGCACCGGCACGGCGTGCGGGCGGTGGGTGCTGCTCGATTCATCCGGGGTGATCTCGGAGAGGGTGGCGAAGAAGGTGGAGAGGTCGGGGCGGCGCGGGTGGCTGGTGGTTGTTCCTGTGGTGGTGCTGGTGTTGGCGGTGGTTGAGGATGGGTCGGTGGTGTTGTGTTCCACTTTTGGGGAGGGTTGGTGTTAGTTTGGTTTATCTGGGGTTTGAGGGTGGGTTGGGAAGGTGGGCGGTACCTTCGTAGGTGGACATGGTGGGAGCTGTGGGAGCTCCTCTGGGAGCTCGGGGACTGTGGTTGAGGGGTTTGTGTTGCGGTGTGGTGGGTTTTGGGATCAATGGATGGTTGATTGCAGCGAGGGATATAGAATAGAAGGAGTTCTCGTGGAAAGAACAGTAATAGAGATTGCAGCGATGTTGGTGTTTAAGCGCTCCTGCAGCAGACTGTTGAGGTTGAGATTTGAGGTTGCAGGAGAAAAGAGCTTGATCAGTTGTTAAATGGAGATGAGATGCGGAGGCAGCAGCCGATAACGCGTTGCCTCTCGGCGGGCGGAGAATCCGATCGGGCTGAATCCTCGGTGTTTACGGGTTACTTTATAAACTACGAACTGCTTAAGTTTCCGAGGTAAGGTACTATGAGATGTGTACATCATGCAAACCATTAAATGTGACATGTAAGTAAGCTGATTGTAGTATAATTGCGTTAGTAGTTGAAGTCCTCAAATACTACGTTCTTACCAGTGAGCCATTTCAACACCGAGCTTTTCAAACCCGGACTGCCGCAGAAATACCATGTCTTGGCCAATGACCGATCCAAATCCTCTGCGTCTATTCTGCGTCGTGAACTCTGTGCTCCAGAGGAGATGACAGCCTCATACTGCCGCTTGGTGAGTTCGTCCTCCGGATCAGACCCGGTCAGAAACAAAGACGTCGATCTGGGCAAAGCCGGAAACCGCTTAAAGGTATCCCATACCAAACCCACGTCGCTGATCGATATAGACCACAGTAGCCGCAGCCGACTGACATCTAGACCGGAAAGCTGGGCAAGCACAGGCGTTATCCCGATGCCGCCTGCTATAAAAGGTAAGATCTCCTCTCCCGCTGATTTCATCTGGAACTCTCCCCCGATCCCTTTGAGGGGAATCTCAAGGCCAGCTCGTTCGTTCACCCCCCAAAGATAGCGAGTCACATTACCGTGTTTCCTGGCTGTTATTTCGAACTCCGATGCAGAAATGCCCTCGCCAGGATAAGATGAGATAGTGAACGTCCTGACATAATCGTCATTGAGGCTAGTCGGGTCATCATCTCGCATGTGGCTGTAGCCGAGATTCAGCTCGTCCCAGAACGAGAACGTCGCGTACTGCCCGGGAATCCACTTCCCAAGTTTGACGGGATCGGAGACACGGAATCGGAAACGAGCAATGGCTGGAGTGAGAATCTCTTTCCGGATAAGAGTTGCTGTGATAGAGCTATCTTCCTTCAAGTCGGCCGCGCTGACCTTTTCTGTCGCCAGATATCGCACCGGAGGATTGTATGGAGACGGCTCCCCCGCGATGCCTCGGAAGGAGAGGGACTTTTCCACGTATCGCGCAGCTGTGACAGTGACCACGATTGCTAGATTTGACCGCGGAAGCACCCGTTCTGCATCTCTGCCTACTAGAATCCTTGCTTCCCTGGTGACGTATAGCGCGTTTCCCGTCTCAAAGTCCGGGAAGACGTATCCTGACCGAGGATTGGTCTGTAGATTGCCTAGAGTCTGGTATAGTCGATTACCTGAGTATTCTGGATAAGCAAACACTGCCCCACGTGGCTCGTTAGAAACCAGTCGCACAAATCCAGGGGGCCCTCCACGGATGTTTGTGTCCATGTCAATGGTACCATGAGCCGAGGAGACAAACAGGCAGTCAGCACGATTGAGAAGGTCTACAGCCGTCGGGGTCAGTTGAGGCGAGTTTGACACTAGCTTCGGATTCGGAAGGGCAGGGATAATCTGCTTCTTATTCATATACTTCGGACAATTTCCTGATTCGTCAGCCGTGTCGCATGCCTGATCTTTTGGACTATTACTCACCGAGACTTGCATCAATGTGCAACGTCAGGTGGGCGAATCCCACCTGGTCCCAACCTGACACTGCGCTGGGACTTTCCAACGACCCCGCAATCGTCCTTCCGTGAAGCTTCACTCTCTTACGATTTTCCAAGTCGAAGACTAACCCAGACATCAGTTTTCCGTCGCGCGTGGAATCGGCCAAGTCGCCTTCCGGTGGACCCAGCAGTATTCCAGCGACGGGGTCATGTCTCCTGTCGACCGGTGTAGTCAGTTCGACCGTGTTTTGTGAAGTAGGCCTAGCGAATCCTTTTTCGCCGCCCCAGATGCTTGTCCAGGGGCGTCCTTCCGGATCAATTGTCCCAATAGCCAACAGTGGAGCGCGGGGCATCAGATAGCCAGCATTATAGGTGAGGGTTGGAACTGTGGGGTTGTCCCGTGGGGGAACGTGAAGCAGGTTATGCATTTTCTGCTCACCCTCATGCCAGGGCATGGAACCTGCAAGTATGGATGTCATACTGGTTTAGTAGCTTGGGGACTGATGTGGGTTGCCAATAGATAGGTTAGCTAAAAGGAAAGAGGACACCATTGCTGAGTCTGCGGCCATGGCTGGCTTTATAGGGAGTGTTGTAGGTTGTAGGTATGTGCGAAGGTTTAGGGAATTAATCAGCAGCGATGGTGTCAGTCAGTATGGTAGTTAGTAGTACAATGCAAACTACGAGAGAGAAAGAGAGCATCTAGAACTAGATGAAGTAAGCGAGACACGTGCTGGATGTCACATGCCAGCTATCCATACGTACTCCGTACTCCACCGACCAAACGCGGCCGGGTTCGTCATCGTCTCCTCTTCCCGCTGCTTTCTTTAGCAACAGCCGTGGTTGTGGAGCCTGCCCAGGCAGTGTAAGAGTGATCGACCCAGCGAGGCGTTGCATTGTTGTGTTTCTTGCACTCGCACTCTCGCTCGTCTCTTGTTCCCTGCCTTCTTTGTTTGTTTTCCCACCTTGTTGCTGAATTGTCATGACCTGAATCCAACTCTCCCCTCTTGCAGGTTCAAGAGAATTCGTCTCTCTACCATCTTCTCCTGTCGCGCTCCCAGAGTATTGTCGCCTGATCATTTGTTTACGGCTTATCGATCGGAACTCAACAATCACTGATAAACCACCCCCACCGCGATTGGAAACCTCCTCCGATAACCATCGCCCACTATGCGCACCACAGCATCAGTCAAACCGTCCCACTACCCCGCGATACCCTTCCACATTATCCGCGCAACGGGTCTCATTTCGACCTTTATCGTAGGCATCATCCTTGCTGTCTTCATCACCAACCTCCACAGCCATGGCTACAAACTTCCTTGGGCCTTCCTGGTCGTAAGTCCCTACTGCCTCCTTCCCCGGATTCACGCAGCCAGACACACAGACACCGAACTAACTCGAAATCAAAAAGCTCCTAATTGCCACCGTCCTGACCCTTCTCAACTACATTCTCACGACCCTGACCCACTGCTTCTACGGCCTCTCCCCACGCCTCTCCCTAACCACCAACTCCATCCTCCTACTCCTCTGGCTCATCTCCCTCGGCCTACTGAGCTACAGTCTCGCGCACACCATCCTGACCAGCTGCACCACCACCTACTGGGGCACCTCGACCGGCATCAACGTGTGCCGCATCTACAAGGCGCTCTTCGCGTTCACCATCGTCGCGACCGCCGCCCACATCGCCGCCGTCGTCCTCGATGTGATCGTCCGCAGACGCCAGACCCGCCTGGGCGAATACGACCCGATGGCCAGCAACGCCGCCCTCAACGACTACAAGATGCACAACCGTGGGAGCAGCGTCATGTCCGGCGGCGTGGGACCCTACCACCCGGACGACATGTACGCCCAGCAACATCCCTCGCAGCAGGGCCCCTATGGGTACTCTGCCGGACAGGAGGCCTATCACGATGCACCACCGACCAACATGCCCGGCCAGTATATGTCCCCGCCCCCGTCGTATGGCGGGCTGGGAAGCCATGCCGGCGCCGCAGCGGAGCACGACCACGCTCACGAGGTGGAACAGTACGGCGACGCGGCGGCGGCGGGAGATCTCGGGGCGCAGCACCCCATGCCGCGGGTGCGATTCAGCGCGTATGGAGCTTCGGCGTCCACTATGGGGTATACCCGTCCCGCGGAGCAGACGGGGTATGATGCCGGGGCGTATCGCTAGGTGACTACTGTGATTCGTTGGCCTCCTGTGGCTTTACGACCTTGTGTCCTTGAAAGAATGCGCTCGCTGGAATTGGCAGCATTTTTTAGCCGGCGAAGCGCTACTTCCAAGGTCTTACAATGTTATATTATGGATCTGATGCGTTACGATCTTGCACTGTACATGATCTACTCTTTGAATTGAACATTCCAAACCACTCAACATGGCTCGGGATCAGTTGTGGTGACTCACGGCGTCCGGTTAGCATACATTAGCGCACGCGTCCATCTCATCGTGTTCGCCGGCATGTCGCATTGGCGGTCGGTGAACGGCACGGAGGTTCCGGAAGACCACATCTCTACCACAGTTGACCCAAATGTAATAAACCTCCAAGCTTGCTGTAATGAAAACTCATGACTGTCTTTCAACTGGATTCGGACTCTGAGCGACAAGGCATTCCAACCAGGTGCTGTATGCCATGATGTATCCCCCCGCGTCAGTCTGGTACATATTCATATTCATATTACGGCAATTTTTACCTGAATTCTCGAGGATGATTTGTATCGATAGCTATGGATAGGGCGTTTTCTCAGGCCGGCGATTTCTAGGCATATGTTTCGGTGTGTATTTCAGCCCATCTACTTACCCCAATGCATTTATCCACATGTTGCCTTTTCTCTAACTACCGAAACACGGGACCCACGAATTGAAACCATATTAAGTTATTAATTTGTAATTTTTTTGTGGCGGGCATACAACCCATACCCATGCCCTGTTCATTCTAAGCATGAACACTAGCTCTAAAGAATTTGCTGAAGCGAGATAAGAAGTCCGCAGTCGAAGGCCAGGTAAAAGAAACCAATCGATCAATAACAAAATAACCAAGAAGAGCAGGTCAGCGATAGGAGAAGCACTTCATAAAAAGCATCTGAGACAAAATCCGTTCACACGTTACGTTCCAGATTTTCAAGCACAGGGGTTGACTTTCTACATGATAACTTCGTTGGCGACGTCCTGTAGATTAAATTAGCTTGCGCTCACGTTAAGAAGACGAGAGGGAGGGAGAGGGAGAGGGGAGGATACGTACGCGCTTCAATTCCTTGTAAGGCAGACAGACACAGTTCTGGACGCGCACCTCATCGCCCACAGCGCACTCCTTGCCCAGGATGGTGATGCTCTGGACCTTGACGCCGTGCTTGATGATGCTGGTCGAGTGGCTGGCCATTGGGACTGGCGTACCCTCCACGCGGGCCCAGGCGCCAACGCGACCGCTCCAGCCGATGATCGAGTGCAGCACGCAGGCGTCGTGCTTAATCTCGGCATCTTCCAGAACAATCGAATCCTTGATACGAGCACCAGCGCCCACGACGACACGAGGTCCGATGGAGACGTTGGGGCCGAGCTTGGCGGTGGGGTCGACAGTGGCGGAGGGGTGGATGTAAACGGGGGGCACGATGGAGGCGGAAGGGGGGGTGAGCTCTTCGGACTGAGCCTGGAAGGCCTTCTGAAGGTACAAAGCATTCGCGGGCACCGCGGAGCCGGCTGTCTTGATCTGGCGCCAGAAGTCCTTGGTCTCGTGGACGAAGAAGCGGTTGCTGTCGGCCAGATCGGACAGGATGTCTTGTTCAAGACGGAGGACTTCGGTCTTCTCAGCGTCGTCCTCGGCCGCGACAAACGAGGATTCCAGGTTCTCGGACGAAGGGTATGAGAGCAGGCGGGGCCGGGTGGTGCGTCGCTTGATGGCGCTGCGGATCGAGGGGAAGATGCATTCAGTGGCGAAGAGGTAGACACCGCAGTTGATGAGGTTGGAGATGTGCGACTCGGGCTTCTCGACGTAGTGCAGCACGCGCTTGGTGTGCGAGTCAGACACAATGCAACCGAAGTTGGTGGCAGCGTCGTTGTTGACCCGGGTCCCGAGAATAACGGCCTCCGCATCCTTCTCCTCGAACAGCTTGAGCATCTCACCGAGCGGGAATGAGCAGCAGACGTCGGCGTTCAGGACGAAGAAGCGCTCAGGCTTTCCCTTCAAAATGGCATCGCGGAAGTGGTAGAGACCACCGGCGGTACCGAGAGCCGTGTATTCGCGCAGGTATTGGATCTTGAACTGAGGGAACTCCTTGGCGGAGTCCTTGATGAAATCACGGAAGACCGTTTCGTCATAGTAACCGACCAGAATAACTTCTCGAATATCGGGGATCTTCGCAAGGGCCTTCAAGCAGTGGTGAATAATGGGGTGTCCGGCGACTTCGAATAAGGGCTGTATGGTAGACCAAATGGTAAGCACTGTGCGTAGGCGCCGGGGAGGGGGGATGCATTCCGCAAGCGGGAGGGAGGGGTTGGAGGGGAATAGTGTCAAGGACGGAGGGGCAGCAACCGACCTTGGGCACATCGAGAGACAGAGGCCTGAAACGAGTTCCTCTGGACGGGCCACCGACCTAAAAATCGAGTAGCGAGGTTAGTAATGAGCTGGGTGATAGGAGACAGATCTCCAATGCCGCCTACCAAGATCACGGCCTTGGTGGAGGCCACGTTGGAGTGCTCCCGAACAGGTACTTGAAGCATTGCAGCGACGAGGGGAGTTCAACAAAACGAGAAAGCAGGCAGAGGAGTAGAAGAGGAGGAATGACGAGGTCGGAGAAGCTGAAGCAGAAAGATTGAAGCAGCCAGCAGTTTTAGGAGAGAGGGGCGATGGAGACTGACTAGTCAATTAGACAGTGAACTAGACTAATCGACGACGACGACGACAAAGAAGAGGAGAATAGTTAGAGAGGCCCACCGCCCGACGGGCAGCTACGAGCTACGAGGTACCTTACCTTACCGTCTTAGCGCTGCGGAGGAAGAGAATCCATGGTTTGGCTGTGGTGGTCGGTGGAAAGGGGGGAAATTCACCGCTTTCGGTCGGCCCTGCCCCAGGTGGGCCTATTCGATAGAGCACTTTAGGCACAGTACCTGCTAAGCATCCACCGTCTTGAGACGAATCTACCCTCATGTTCGTCTATGACATAGTTGGACAGCCCCCCTTCCAGAGCTCAGACAATCGCAGCGCAGAAGCTGAAGCAGCTTGGTGAATTCAAAAAAGGACTGCTGATAGACTATTGAATACAAGTTGAGAGGTGTTACAGATATGCAAAAGTCAGATTCAAGTTATGCACTTAAGATTGTTCTAGAAAAAGACCGCAACATTGTTTAACGGTGTATCACACGCCCTCCCCTTACCAAGGGCCACCCAAGCCTAAACCGAGGTAGTCGTCAGCTCCATCCGCATCACTCCCTTCATCGAAACCTTCCGGCTTAGGGATTTTGGAATCAAAGTCGTCCTCCCATTCGACAATCTCATTCGTCCCAGGATTCGACGCATTGTAGTCATCCCAATTTATTTCGCCGTTGTTATCTGCCTCAGCGGTGTTGTCTGCAAAAATGGACGTTTGACCGAAATCATGGAACATTGAGAACGGAATAGCTTCTAAATCAAGTATCCAATGTCAGTAAACAGTGAAATCGGCACATGTTTCTCAAGAAGGGGGCACTAACTTGGCATAGCGTCGAGTACAATAACCTTCTTATTTCTCGATGCCCAGGACACGTATTCGACTAGGTACGGCGACTTAGACGAAACCACCTCACCAGAAGAATTTTGGCGCGGGAATGGCGTCTTTGCGAAGGGACTATCTGCAAGATGCATGGGAGCCACTGTAACTAGCACTTCTCGCATGCGAGAATGCGCAACGGTGCATCTATGGTCGTCCAGAAATCCCAAATCGGCTCGCGTGTCAGCCTGCGAGATCACAAAGTCCACGATCACAAGCTTAGCTTCTCTGACCTGAATGGAATCGATCGTTTCAATCTGTGGTTGATGGCTCAAGGGTAGCTGTTCACGAAGGTGGAAAAGTGCCGTTCGATAGAGATTCTTCTGTGCAGTGTAAGGCGTGATGATCACCATGTCCTCGCCTTCATAACCGTTCTTAAGGTGGTTCTCGATGAGAAGGGTAATGACAGCTTGTGCATGTACCATGTTGAATTTCGACTTGGTTGCCTGCTCGAGATCACAGGAAGAGCCCGTGAGACTCAAAACGAAATGTCCCGTGTCGAACGATTGACTGATTTCGGGAATTAGTGAACGTACTGCATCATCCCAGCCGGATTTGACCTTGAGCTCCTTTGTAATAAGGCTTGATTTCAGTAATTGCTGATAGACACGCATGTTCAAGAACTCGCTGAAGGTAGGTCGGAACCGTCGCTGCGCAGTAAGTTGATGAATGGGGTGATTAGCGCGAATCAGCCTGGCGACCAAAGAGGTTTCCAACTGCTGGCTGAACTCGTTCCAACCGGGGGTCTCTTCTGCAGAGATCACCGTTGGCTTGAGCTGGGTGATGTCACCAGCAAGTATGATTCCCATGATCTTGTCTGAAAACCCACATTTCGTCAAGGGAATGATTCCGTTCACCTCGAGTTCTTTCGGGTCTTCATCGCGGATGAGGATGATTGCCTGGGCCTCTTGACCGAAGTTGGAGTAGTGATAGAGGTAGTGGGTGTGGTGGGAGAAGGACAAGGAAGAAGGAAGTTGAGAGACGAGGGGGGAGGAGCTACTATTTATACAGCTGTCTTGACCAGGGGCTCTTTCCCAAGGTGATGAATATTTTGTATGCCAGTGAATGAATTCAACATCATTTGAATATATTATTGTGGATCGTGGGGTGGTGAAGAGGTTCTTGTGTGAATAGGGTCTTAACATCGTGGTTTAGCCCTGTACAAGAAACTAGACAGTGGTATATTTACTAGACTCAGTGACCGCTTTTAGTAACACCTTTATAAGTTGTTAAACTTGATAATTCTTTTGTGTTGTAGCTTAGAAGTCCCAACCAATGCAGGCTATCAGCCTTTGCAAGCACGTATGCTGATAATGAACCAAATTCTAAGATGGATGGGGGTAGAATCCATGCTTGACCTTGTATCGTAGCTTGCAGTCAGAAATGATGTAAACCTTTTGAGAGCATTGCCATAGCTCTACAAAATGTATTATCGAGGAGCACAAGGGTACCTATGTCAAGGACAATCCTCCTAAGCAGTTCGAGTCTTAAATTCCTCCTTGTCCTCCGCGATTTTAGAAAAAATGATGAGCTAATTTTTCAAGAAACTCTGTGCATGAGGCTCGATATACTTCAATTGAAGTTGTAAGCAAAGGTTAAAATTGCATAGTACAAGACATTCTAGTCATGGCTGTGAAGTCCCCGAAGTCTCTGCAACAGTATCTACTTTGAACTCCCAAAATCAGGCTTTTTAGTACTACAGAGAGAGCATATCCAGAACATGCCATAATCACTGTTTTGATATGTTTTAGAGGATACCTCGTCTGTTCAGGCTGATTATACCTGGACGGAATGGATACGACATGTCAGTGACAGCTTTTCAGTGAATGGTCGTCGTGCCGCTAACTTAGCACTAAGGAGTTTGGTAAGGGTTACTGCAGGGCTGTAAGTTGATCTATCAACTTCACAGCCGCCTGTATCTCTACCACTCTAAGTGAATGTGTCGTTTACAGCCTTCTGTGTGTGTGACAAAATAATATACTGCCGGTGTTGCTTTGTCAACTTCCCTTCCACATCCCCTCGGTATAAATCTGCCTAGTTTTGGATCTCATTTCCAATTACTTCCTCTTCCTCCTCTTCTTCATCTTCTTCTCTAGATCATCACCCATACAACTTGTTACTCACCCTAGGGTGGGGAATCTTTTCCTCGAAGTTTACCTCTACTCTCTATTCTCCATCTTCATCTTCTGTGTGAAGCGCCCATACCTACAGCCTCCTACAGCCTCTCACTCTCCCCTGTTTCGACTGAAGTCCGTGCCATCTCCGTGTCGACATTACCTTTGCTCCAGCCACCGTCTGTCAAAATGGCGGAGCATTTATCGAGTAAGTGCCAAATTCTTCTATCAAACTGGGCTTCACTTCTGACTCACATCCCCAAGCCGTGATCCGAGCAAAGTCGGCCGAGATGCCTGGTCCATCTTTGAAAAATGACTCGATCAATATCATCACTCACGATATGAAGACCCTGGTGAAGAAGATCCAAGATCTGCGGCACCTCGGTATTGAAGACAGCCAGATCGCCCTCCCCAGAATCTGCGTTATAGGCGATCAAAGTGCGGGCAAGAGCTCTCTTATCGAGGGTATGAGTGAAATCAAAGTCCCACGTGCAGCAGGAACCTGTACTCGGTGCCCGATGGAGATTAATCTCACTGAAAGTGATCCGGATCAGCCTTGGACGTGCCGTGTATACTTGTCGCGGAAATACTTTTATGACACGAGTCAAAGAGTCGATAAAGTGTCTAAGAAGTCACATCCTTTCGGCCCTTGGCATGTTCAGGATCAAGAGGACGAGCTGTTCATTACCTTGAGCGATAGAGATGATGTCGAAGAGGCGATCCGATGGGCACAACTGGCTATTCTGAACCCAGGAAGACCGACAGCTGTGTACATTCCCGGGCAGAACTTTGATACGGATGAGAACTATTGCCAGGTTAAATTCTCTCCGAATGTGGTACGACTTGATATTTCCGCTCCTGGCTTCCCAAGTCTCTCATTCTACGATTTACCTGGTGTTATTAGCCAGGCCGAGCACGAAAAGGACAGATATCTGGTTGCCATGGTCGAGAATCTTGTCAAAGAGTACATTACTCAGGCAAATTGCATTGTGCTATTGACCTTGCCGATGACAAATGATGCGACTAACTCGAGTGCTGCTCGCCTCATGAGGGAGGTGAAAAGTGCAAAAGCAAGAACTTTGGGGGTCCTCACAAAGCCCGACCGCATCCAGACCGGGGAGTCTTATGTTCAATGGGTTGAGATTCTAGAAGGAGAGAAATTCAGGCTTGGACATGGGTACTACGTGATCCGCAACAATCCAGATCCCACGGTCCAGCATGCTCAAGCGCGTCTCGAAGAGAACGCGTTCTTTGCTTCAGAGCCGTGGGCAACTGAACTGGCCGCCTATCAAGAGAAGTTTGGAACCAGAAAGCTGCAGACAGCGCTCTCAAGCCTCCTGTTGGACAAAATCCAAAGTTGTCTTCCCAAGGTCATCGAGCAGATTGAAGCTAAATCTCAACGTATCGATGCCGAGCTCCAAACCTTGCCGGATCCTCCTTCGGCGAGCAGTCCATTCATTCTGTGTCAGATGCTAAACAATTTCAGGGAGCACGTGCAGGCACATATGGACGGCGGCTCGGCTGACTATCCGCTGCTGAAGATGTGGTTCCATCTAGCAACCGACTTCAAACGGGTGCTGATACACACTCGGCCAACTGTCGGTATACTTTCTCAAGCCGAGGATCGTGAGAAAGCGATGAAGAATCAGAAGGATGACGACTCAGATAGCGAAGTCACAATAGTCCACCCCCCAACTCCAGCGAAGCGCAAGGCCCTCACTCACGGCGATACGCCAGACGCGAAGAGGAGATTTACACCGGACTTAGGCAGAATCAGCTCGACCTCACCTTTCGATAAGGTCAGCCGCGAGATCAAGAAATTTACCTGGGAAGATATCCGTGAATGCAATGAAACTGCCTCACGAGGGTGCCTTCCAGACCAAATCGATCCAAAGGCAATTGAAATACTGAATCAGCGGAGTGTGGAACACTGGAAAGTGCCATTGATGATTTTCCTGGATGAAAGCCATGATCTAGTGAAGAAAATACTGCTCGAGCAAATAGATGAGGTCTTTGTGCAGTATCAGCGGACTAACCTCTATCGCGAGATCCGCCGAATTGTGGAGCAGTACTTACAAAAGCTTCACCAGCAGCACATCGACTGGGCAGAAGAAGTATACGAGATGGAACATAACAAGCCTTTTACGATGAATAGAATCGCGCTAGAGCAGGCCAAGAACCATGGGTTTAGTGTTCTCGTACGCGCTCGGAATAGCGGTCGCTATGGTATGTACCAAGACCGGATTGGCAGGTACCCCGAGGGGGATATTCGCCGTGATAACGAACTGAAGAGCATGATCGAGAAGCCACAGGAGTTGGAGGAAATACTTGGTCCGGATCAGTACCTCCCGGAAATGAGGATCATGGCGGTAGGTTGAGATTCATGCTGGATCTACGAATATGTGGCTAACTGCCCTCTCCATCAGTATGCGCGAGGTTACTATGATGTTGCGAGCTCCCGCTTTGTCGACTTGATCTGCCAGAGCACCCATACAAAGCTCTTCTCCAAGTGCCGCAGTCAATTAATTGAAGAGGTTCAACGCGAGCTACATATCAACGATCATGACAGTAAGTGTTTGGTTATAGTTTCGAACAGGGCATCTGTTGACATTCTATACCTAGTGGTTGAGAGATGCTGCGAGCTCATGGCAGAGGAGCCAGAGCGCCAACATCGCCGACTGGTTCTCCAACGCGAGAAAGAGAAGATTGTCAAGGCGCAGACATGGCTGTCGGCTGCCAAGAAGGACGAGCCCGAGGACGTGTATGACAATATGACGGTCAAATCCCAGCCCCAGGATGATTGGGCGCCTTTTGCTTCGAGTATGGATACATCTGTGTGAGAGTGTATATGCAGATGAGTGGATTGGAACTTTTGCTTAGAGCCAGAGACGAGAGAGTTGGGGTGTGATGAAGGGTGAAAGGCGGGGTACGGCGAGAGTGAGCGATAGATCCAAACCCCATCCGCGTGCCCTAAGCCCTAAGCCCTGCCTGCTAGTGATAAGCATCGAGGGCCTTGGGTTCAATGGATTGTACTGTACACTACTAGTTTGCAGATCGAAGATCTCAGGTCATCAAAATGCTAACTATTTAAGATTGGGATGTTACTCCGTGGTTCTGTAATACTCACAAGATTAAAATGTGATTTCGTGCAGAGGCACCATTTCTGCGCGGCCTGAGGCAGCACTAACCAGACATGCAGCGAAATTGAGTCATCCATGATTGAATCGAAGGAGGGGCGGGCGTGGGGGAGCTGCCCCTCCCTACCCAATCACCTTCGCCCGCCTTGTCTCCCGCCCAAAATTCTCTCTCGCCGACTTCCAACCCACCAAACCCGCTACTCCGTGTGTCATCTCTTTTCCCCTCCTTCTCTCCAAACCGTCTTTCATTTGTCATCGAGGAGTCTAAGTCCCTGTTGCGGTACTTTAAGCCTCACTGATTCATCATGGCCGACAACACTGCCGTCCAGCAGGCTGAAGCCTCGTTGGCCAACCTTATCCTCGACGAGGTCACCGGAGAGAAGATCTCCAAGTCCGAACTCAAGAGACGCCAGAAGCAGCGCGAGAAGGAGGCCAAGAAGAAGGAGCGTGAGGCTGCTGCTCCTCCCAAGCCTGTCAAGAAGACCTCTGCTGAAGACGATGAGGCCAACCTGACCCCCAACGTAAGTCGTACCCCATCATCACCTGGGATATGTCGTCGCGCAACACTTGCTAATCATATTCGATACCTTGAACAATTGTAGCAATATTTCGAGATCCGCAGCAAGAGAATCAACAAGCTTCGCGAGACCAAGCAACCTGACCCCTACCCCCACAAGTTCCAGGTCACTGACGACCTCCGGAAGTACCTCAAGGAGTACGAGGGTCTCGCCAAGGGCGAGCAGAAGCCCGATGTCACCGTCCGCATTGCTGGTCGTATCTTCACCAAGCGCGCGTCCGGTTCCAAGCTGATCTTCTACGATATCCGTGCCGAGGGTGTCAAGGTGCAGGTTGTCTGCCAGGCTCAGAACATTGCCGGTGACGCTTCCTTTGAAGCCCAGCACGAGCACCTTCGCCGTGGTGACATTGTTGGTATTGTCGGTTTCCCCGGTCGCAGTAACCCCAAGAACCGTGAGGATGGTGAGCTGTCCATCTTCGCCTCCGAGGTTGTTCTCCTCGCTCCCTGCTTGCACGCCATCCCCTCCGAGCACTTCGGTCTGCAGGACAAGGAGCAGCGTTACCGCCAGCGTTACCTGGATCTCATCATGAACGACCGCTCCCGTAACGTCTTCCTCACTCGCGCCAAGATCGTCTCCTACGTCCGCAACTACTTTGACAGCCGCGACTTCGTCGAGGTCGAGACCCCCATGATGAACGCCATTGCCGGTGGTGCCACCGCCAAGCCTTTCATCACTCACCACAACGACCTGGACATGAACCTGTTCATGCGTGTTGCCCCCGAGCTGTATCTGAAGATGCTGATCGTTGGTGGTCTGGAGCGTGTCTACGAGTTGGGCCGTCAGTTCCGTAACGAGGGTATTGATTTGACTCACAACCCCGAATTCACCACTTGCGAGTTCTACTGGGCCTATGCCGATGTCCACGATGTCATGAACTTGACCGAGGAGCTTGTCTCTGGCTTGGTCAAGCACGTCACTGGAGGTTACGAGACCACTTTCCACACCCAGTCTGGTGAGGTCTACAACGTCAACTGGAAGGCTCCTTGGCGCCGTGTGGAGATGATCCCCGCTCTGGAGGAAGCCACCGGCGAGAAGTTCCCTGCTGGTGACCAGCTCCACACCGCTGAGACCAACGAGTTCCTCAAGCGCATCCTCAAGAAGACCGGTGTTGAGTGCTCTCCCCCCATGACCAATGCCCGTATGCTCGACAAGCTGGTTGGCGAGTTCATTGAGGAGACCTGTGTCAACCCCACCTTCATTACTGGCCACCCCCAGATGATGTCTCCTTTGGCCAAGTACCACCGCGAGAATGTCGGTCTGTGCGAGCGTTTCGAGGCTTTTGTTTGCAAGAAGGAGATTGTCAACGCCTACACCGAGTTGAACGACCCCTTCGACCAGCGTCTCCGCTTCGAGGAGCAGGCCCGCCAGAAGGACCAGGGTGATGACGAGGCCCAGCTCATTGACGAGAACTTCTGTACCAGCTTGGAGTACGGTCTGCCTCCCACCGGTGGTTGGGGTATGGGTATCGACCGTCTGGTCATGTTCTTGACGGACAACTACAGCATCAAGGAGGTTCTGGCCTTCCCCTTCATGAAGGATGACAAGACTGCTGCTGAGACCAAGAACGCTGCCGAAATTGTTGGCATTGAGCCTCAGCCTGAGGAGGGTATTCGTAAGTTATTTTGCTCCACACTCAGAGACCCTGTGCTAACCACATTCAGCCCACAAATAAACGCACTTTGATGAATAATTCCGGACGATAGTCAAGCTGATGATGACGTGTTGCATGGGTTTCTCGGATGTTGATGAAGAATTCATAAAATTATAAATCAGGACAGATTATAATCATTCTTCGGTCTCCTACAAAATTAGATGAATATGAAATGCATGTTTTCGGTTTCCCAGGTTAGAAATAGCAAGTAGTCTTAACTCGCTGTTGGTCCTTGTCGTCATGCCATCCTATTCCTGCGCTTTGTGAAAACTATAATAGTGCCGATGCATCGAGCTGCGACGTCCAAATCAAGGATCCGCATATATCTTCTCGAATTTCGAACGTGTCAAGCTTTTACACCGTTGTCTATCTTGTCTTCGTGCCAATGAAGACTGTCAAGTACCAGGTACATCCTCTGCAGACAAATGGAATGACTGTCTAATGTCTTAATTCATGGTTCCGAGTTTTAAAGTTGGGGGAAATCGCCTCATCAGAGACGGTACGAGTTATAAGTCACGGCTGTGTCAAGGTGTTGAGGATGGCTGGACACCGGGTCTCTGGGCTTGGGGGACTTTGCCAAGGGACCTCATTTATGGGGCCTTCTGGGATATAGGTTCAATGACTTAATATAAGCGAGCACCACCATATGGCGCGGGAGTAAATAGTTAATTTCTCAGGTAATCTGTGCATTGATACAAACATCAAAGCTTCGCGCCGGATGTTTCCCATCTCCGCCGAGGGAGCGGGAAACGACGGCTATTTCCGTTTTCCCTCCTGGTCTCCGCTCCGGTCCCCCCCTCGTTGCGTTTCTCTCTCTTTCACGCGCAGATCGTTCGGTCTCCATCTGGGCTGCTACACAGGGCCCCACGGTCTACGATTCCGGGCCTTGCTGCCAAATCCTTGAGTCGGAATCTCGAGAGAGCCGTGTCTCTGCGATGTTATTGGTTGAGCTGGAACTCTCCTCATCATGGAAGTCAGGAGGCCGGCCGGCCGCTACGGCGACACTCCGACCCGGACCTACCAACGGACCTACAAGGCCTGCCTCTCGTGTCGGCAACGCAAGGCCAAATGCAACCTCGGAACGGACCAGGACGGCTTTCCGATAGGGCCTCCGTGTGCGAAATGTCGAAGGGAACAGAGGGAGTGCATATTCAGTGAGAAGCGGGCGTGGGAGAGAAGCAATAAACGCGGTAGGTGTTCCGCTATGCTGGTGTTGCTACAACCGTCTCTGCATCAGTTGTTGCTTCAGAGCCTGAGGCTAACTCTCTTCAAAAGGTCTTTCGGAAGATGCGCCCATGTCGTCGCCGAGTACACGTCGCAGGTTGTCGGACCATATCAGACAGGACCGGGAGGTACCCGACGACGTTTTGAATGTCGGCGCTGACAGCCCCTTTGGTAATGGCAGTATGCCTGAGAATGAAAGCGGGGGTTCGCACACGAATCGCACTTCCGAAACACGGAATGGGCGCCGCGATCTTACTCATGATGTGCTACAAGTATTTGATGATCATACCATGGACCATAGCACTACTGGTAGAAGTAACAGCTCACTTCAGTCTCAACTCTTTGATACACGACGGACTCGGCGTCGGAGCGTGCCAGATGATGTGTTGCATGTTTTTGACGAACGAGTAGGCAGCGAAAGCACTGAAAAACACCACGATAGTAGGAGATCCCACCACTCTTCTGTTCCGGAATTATACGCAACCCGGACACGGAAATTGCCGGATGGCATGCCGCAAGGGCTGGACCATCGTCCAGGTGGTGATAACAACAACCATGCAAATGATGACAGAAGCTCTCATGACACTGAGACGCGCTCCAGCCAGCACCCAGCAACGTCGAATCTGGCGAATTCAATGATGCGTACCGTGGTCTCGAGTGGAAATGACGCTTTGAATATCCTTTTTGAGGCCGCCGTAGCCCACAGTCAGGAGAATATGATCAATGAGTTTCAGTCGCAATCACAAACTATACAGGATAATGCCTCGCATGGCAAAGGCGTGGATAACAGTACCATGAACCCACCACAGTTTAAGTACCCTACGGAAGCCTTAGCCAAGGCGAAGCGTCCGGTACAGCTTTCACCTGCATCGGAAGAGGTGCTCAAGGTCTGGGAGACCTGCCGATTCGTCAGAATGGGGTGGTTCACATCAAGAGAAGCGGTAACCTTGATTGACCTGTATGTATATCTACTTCGACCTTGTCATAAGCCTATCTTGACGCTTGCAGGTTTTTCAAAAACATGGTTCCTCTATCCCCGATCTTGACCAACTTCTATGCCGATCATAATAGCCACCAGCATTTGATTACTTGTGATCCGGCTTTGTGTTGTGCTATATTGATGCTATCGTCTCGGTATCATGTGTTACCTGGTGCTGGGGGCGAGTCCCGGAACTTCTTTATCCACCATCGTCTATGGCAGCATTGCCAACATCTCGTGATGCGACTGGTCTTCGGGCAGGAAAGATCGTCGCATGCGAAGAACAGGAGCATCGGGACCATTGAAGCACTACTCTTGATGTCGGAATGGCATCCGCGGTCCTTGCACTTCCCACCTGAAAGTGACGGGTGGGACTCAGACTTGGTTCTGGTCCCCGAGCCCCAGAGTCAAGATGATTCGTCACCAAACCGATGGCTGGAAGACATGGTCGAGCCTGCCAGAAGATCGGATCAGATGTCCTGGATGCTACTGGGATCCGCGCTGTCGCTAGCACACGAGCTGGGGATATTCGAACTCGATGATAAGAAATGCGACTATGCGTCGTTATATGAGGGTTTCATATCGAATGATCAGATCAAACTGCGCAGGCTTCGAGTGCAACGCCTTCTGTACGTCTACATCAATCAGTTGGCTTGGCGAATTGGATGTGTTTCACTCATGCCGCAGAGCTTAAATCATACAATACTCGGTCGGCAAACGACTAGGGACGTGAGCCATTCAGAAGATGAATGGTTGGCGCTGATGGACTCTTGGATGGATCTTACAAAATTGGCCAAGAATGTGACGGACATGTTCTTCCCTTCGATATCGTTCGCGAGGCAGCAGCTGCACAGTGGGCGCTATATCGACTTGCTGGACCACTTCTGCCCTCTTCTGCAGAAATGGAGGGAGCAGCATCTTCGGCATGACGGTATGTGTTTCTTGGCTACTAAAAAAACAGTCTTTGCCATGGTATGCTGATTGATCTACGGTGTAGTGCTTAGCAAACACTTCTACGACATTCTCTTCATTGAATACAACTTCGTGCGGGTCTACACGCACTCAGTGGGGATGCAGGCGGTTGTGGAGCGTATAGTTGCGGATAACGACTCGAACGTGGAAGAAGTCCGTGCTATGCATATCGACCCCATTGACTACAACTATATTCAGGAAGTGATTGATGGATGCTGTCAGATCCTGCAGAAGGTCATCGAACTTGGTGATTCAGGAGCTCTGCGGTTCTCTCCGGTCCGAATCTTCTTGAGAATCACCAGTTCCTCTATTTTCTTGATGAAAGCCCTAAGTCTAGGCACTCGTCCAGCAAGACTGCGCGAGTCGCTGGATATACTGGAGCGCTGCGTACAGGTGCTGAAGTCGAATGCGCTTGACGATATTCACCTGAGCACTCGATACGCCGAATTGCTAGAAATGCACGTGTCGCGCCTGCGCCGTAACCTGCTTGCATCTTCCAAGTCTGCTAAGAACAGTCATGGAACCACGACTCGCAACTCTATGATTCCTCAACAGAGCACCGAAAGCGACATTCCTGCCCCCATGGCCGAGACCCCTGTGTCGCAGAGCCTGGCGGACGTGAGCCTGTTTCCCCAGCTCAACGATATCGCCGGGGATGATTGGCTTTCCCTACCGTTTGATCCGTCCATGGCACCCTTTGGAATCAATAGCTGTGGGCAATTTCCGGCCTATGGAGGAGGAGCGTTGAACTTCATCTGGAACTTGCCATCGTAATTGATGCCATCTCGGTTGAGGCTGGACCCACTTACTGTACTATGTACTTACTGAGTAGATATCAAACTTTAACATACACGATCCTGCTTGGGCAGTTCACTGTTGATTTAAGTATATTGCAGAAAAATAGTACCTCCATGGTTGTGAAGTACGAGCAAAAAGGTCAGCACTACGCAGAGGCTGAGCGACATATTGCATTAACTTGACGTGGAGCTTTTTAAGACTAAACATGGCAAATGCAGTGCACATCTCCAGCCTGTTGTAAGGTCGAGTACACAAAGAAAGGATCTATAGCACACTCGCTAGCACCACCGACATTGATCTCTTATCATCAGCATGGCGTCAGAGAACACAAAGCCCGGATGAGTCGGCCAGACAAAGTGCTCGGACCTTGGACTCTAAGAAAAGCACGCAAGGACAAGAGGAGGGACAGAAAACTTTGCTCGAATCCCTGTCAGTTGGGATGCATATTTTCCTCCTCGTCTTCCCGACTCGCCACTCACGGACTGGTTTGGACTGGTTTTGACAATGTTTGGAAGGGAGATTCCGGGCTGGTTATCGGCACGTGACTCTGGGAATGGGGGTAGCAAGTCACGTTTTCCCGGCGAAAAAAGCCAGAAACTTATTGTTGCGATCCGCCTTCGCTCTCCGTTCCCCGACCCCAGAGTTTGTCCATTAAAGACTGCTTCTGCCAGCCTGTCGTGCAACACCTCGACTCGATCTCACGACCTCGATTTCTCTCCCTGCAACTCGCATCACATTTTCGTCGAGTTCAGCTCTACAGTATCGCGGAATTACCTCCTCACAACCACTTGCTCGACCTTGTAGCTCCTACAACAGCTACTTGACCTGCTCCGGGCACGCTCGCCATCTGATCTCTCTCCCCACCTCCTCTTCGCTTTAATTCATATATCGCAATGGATCACTCCAGAGATCCCTGCCCCTGGGTTGCCCTGAGCGACTTCGGTGGTGCTTTCTGTATGGGTGTACGTCATCATTGAACTCCCCAGCTGAATCACCCTCAGCTGCATCTGCATTCCGCCATCGATCCCACTACTAAACTGTTTTCTTCTGTACAGGCTATCGGTGGTGCCGTCTGGCACGGTGTCAAGGGTTTCAGAAACAGCCCCTACGGAGAGCGTCGGATAGGTGCCATTACAGCCATCAAGGCTCGTGCGCCCGTCCTCGGTGGTAACTTCGGTGTGTGGGGTGGTCTCTTCTCGACTTTCGACTGTGCGATCAAGGGTATCCGAAAGAAGGAGGATCCCTACAATGCCAGTACGTTTTTTCCTCGTCTGTTATGCAGATGTACACGAAAGCAGAGCGGCGCGGCATCGCGCGCGTTTCCTGGAATGACGACATAGCTAATTTTGTTGCTTACTAGTTATTGCTGGTTTCTTCACTGGTGGTGCTCTGGCTGTTCGTGGTGGTGTCAAGGCTGCTCGTAACTCGGCCATCATGTGTGCTGTCTTCCTGGCTGTTATTGAGGGTGTCGGTATTGGGTTCCAGAGAATGATGGCCGACAACACAAAACTCGAGGTGAGATTGATCCCAGACTTTTGTCTTTGCTGTCCTTTGAGGAATGGTATAGCCTGTGGCTTGTTTGGAAGGAGAAACCAGACCCTGGGTTACATGGAAAGTTTACCAGAAGCTAACCTCTATGATTTCATCGAATTTAGCTCCCTCCTCCTCCTCCGTCCCCCGAGAAGGCCGTTGCCTAATTGATCCCTCACCTAAATCCTCCTTTATTTCATGCTAGTTAGGAACGTACGAATCCCCGCGTTGTCAGCAATATGCCCATCTTTCTCATATCATTATCCGTGGTCTCTCTTCTCTGGTGTTGGGCTGGTTCATATCATTTCAGGATGCATGGTATAGAGGTTTCTTTCGACTCCTTGCTTCGACCCTCCTCCCCCCTCTTACTCTTACGATGTCTTTTCTATAAAGAAGTGTGGGTTTTTGTCGGCGATTTTGGATGACACAGCCTTGCATCCTTGTGTATCTCTTTCTGTCGTGTGTGATTTTCTTTTTTACATTTGCTGAGAGGGGCCGGTTTCAAAAGAAGAGGTTCTCTCCGGATCAGTCGGGGGGGGAACGGTTTTATCTTTTCTATTTTTCTTGTACATTAACATGCAGATAACAGGTATAATGTGATACTTAGTACACAGTGAAGATTTGCGTTGCGTCAGGTAGTCTGATTATCGTTGATTTACCCAGCAGATTGTGACGGCGTGGACGTGATGACGGCAGACGACCCATCCCGATCAGGCAAGGAGCGGTTGCAGGTGCAGTTGCAGTGCCGATAAGCCGCGCGCGAGACAATCCATCAACCCCAACCCCAGGCTTTGTCCCTTCCCCTCTCAACACCCTTCTTCGATTCAGATTCATGAACCCCCAAGCTTCCTCACCACCAGCCCGGACCTTTGTTCCCTACAGATCCTACACCCGGTATACGAAACCACCCCCCACCCCCCACACCAACAAACCATGCCCTCCGACCTCCCCCCCCTCTTCCAACCAGCCCTCATCCTCCACGGCGGCGCCGGCGCCATCCACCGGTCCACCCTCCCGCCCGACCTCTACGCGCAATACCACGCCTCGCTCCTCGAGTACCTGCGCTCCACCCGCGCCCTGCTGGACAATGGCGCCTCGGCCCTCGACGCCGCCGTGCACGCCGTCGCTCTGATGGAGGACGACCCGCTCTTCAACTGCGGCCGCGGCAGCGTCTTCACCGCCGCCGGCACCATCGAGATGGAGGCCTCGCTCATGGTCACCTCGGTGAACGCGGCGCACCCGTCGGAGGGGATCGTTAAGCGCGGTGTCGGTGTGATGGGATTGCGGAATGTGAGGCATCCGATCAAGTTGGCGCGAGAGGTTCTGGAACGGTCTGGTGGGAAGGACGAACGTGATGCAGATGGGGGTCAGGGCAGGGATAGGGGCACGGATGGGGGCAGTATGCACTCCCAGCTGGTGGCGCCTTATGTCGAGGATGTACTGGCCAGGCAGTGGGGGCTGGAGTTTATGCCGGATGAGTGGTTCTTCACGCAGCGGCGGTGGGAGGAGCATCTCCGGGGGTTGCGGGGGGAGGTTGAGACTGTCGCGATGAGTCAGGGGACGGTTGGGTGTGTTTGTTTGGATCGTGCGGGTGGGTTGGCGGTTGCTACGAGTACTGGGGGGTTGACGAATAAGTTGCCGGGGAGGATTGGGGATACGCCGACGCTTGGGGCGGGCTTCTGGGCGGAGGCGTGGGAGGAAGAGGAGAGGGTTGGGTTGGGGGAGGATGTGTGGTGGTGGTGGTGGTGGTGGTGGTGGTGGTGGTATGGTGGACGACGAGGCCGGGGAGAAGGCGGTCTGGGATCTGACGCTTGGGGATTGTTTGCCGGGATTTGTGAGAGAGGGGGCGGATAGGATGTATGAGGCTTTCTGGGGAGAGGAGGATGGGTTGGCACGACGGGGTTACGATGGTGATGATGATGCTGGAAAAAAGTCGGAGAAGGAATGGCTGATTGCGCACCCGCACAAGCAGACCATGAAGGGCAAGAAACGTGCGGTTGCGGTGTCGGGGACGGGCAATGGAGATTCGTTCCTTCGCACGGCGGCTGCGCGAACGGCTTGCGCCATGTCGCGGTTCTCAACGCCGAGTCCCTCGTTGGCCGAGGCTGTCAGTGCGGTTGCTGGGCCCGGCGGCGAGCTGCAGCGTTCGGCGGGCGATCGATGGGGCTCAACCGGCGAGGGTCAGGGCGGGATTATTGGTATAGAGGCTGAGTTGGAGGATCCTGTGGTCTTGGAGACTGGTGATGCTCAAGACAGAACCAAGCTCAGGAAAGGCAAAGTGGTGTTTGATTTCAATTGCGGAGGGTTATGGAGGGCTTGGGTGGAGGATTCTGGCAATGGGGAAGCAATTGAGCGGGTGATGGTGTTTAGAAAGGAATATCAATAGAGAGAGATACTCCGTAGTATACAGTAGGCAGAAGACAGCCTCGAACAACAACCAAGCTTGGATTGACCAAGAATCACCAAGAGATTGTTGCTGAGACATTCAACACGAACTTAGCGAGTGAGTAGATAGCAAAACAAGCAAAAAGCAAAGCAAAGCGGAAAGACCCCACTCATTCACTCACGCATTCACTCACTCACTCACTGTCTCGGCTTGGCGCTTCTTTTCCTCCAACGTCCACCATCCATCGTCACGTTCCTTTCCTTCCTTTCCCTTCTTTCCTTCCTCTCCTTCTCCTCTCCTCTTTCTCGTCGCTTCTCCCCTCTCTCCGCCCAGCTTCACCTCGCATCTCGTCGCATGCCATCTTCAATTCCATCTCCATAATTCCATCCCTCTCTCTTGCGTTTCATTCGCTCCATTTGGTTTATGTCATGCATGCATTGAGCTATACCTACCCAGTCCACGCCATCTCCCAGTAACCCTCCTAGCGCACGCGTCTCTCCACAACCCTCACCACCCGCCAACACTTTCAATCAACTTTCCTTACCGTCATTCTCAGGCAACCTTGTTCGTCATGGAAGAAAGCGCCTCGTCGCGTCCCACCAACACCCCCGAGGGGTCCGTCGGGGCAGACGATCACAACCCGTCGAGCTCTGCGAAGAACCCTGCCCTCAAAGATCGGCAATGCCAATACTGCCATCAGGCCTTCACCTCATCCTCCCTTGGACGCCACCTCGATCAATTCATGTTTAAAAAGAAACCCGATGGCATTCACGATGTCGAGGAGATTCGACGCATTCGAAGTGAGATCACGCGACGACAGGCCCGCACCTCATCCGGCAGACGCGACACCCCCGAGCGAACACCTGGCAAACGTCCACAAGACCTATTCAGCTCGGGCGACTCGGGTACAAAGCCACGCGACGGCGCGTACAGGATGATGTTCAACACCCCGACGTGGCATGCGACCGGAGTCATCAACGACATCCCGAACCCGAGCCAGGCGCAGGAGGGCAGCTCCGCCCATTCGCGCATTGCGCCTCCGCAGTCTCGAACCGGCTCCTTCACCTTTACGGAGAGACACAGCTCGAGTAATCCGGACACCATGCGGGCGCTAGAATTGGCTTTGCGCGAGGTGCTAGATAACATCAAGGCTGCAACGTATGACCACCTCCCACCTGGCCCTTTGCGCGTTTTGACAAAGGATCTGACATTTTTCTTCCCTCCAGCTCCCGAATGCGCCCCCGACTCTCACCTTTCGACTTTGACATCCAATCGCAAACGTTTCCCTCCCTCTGTCTGCAGCTTCTCCCGCCTCCGCCCAGCCTATTCGCAACCAACCCATTCCCCTCGCCTACATCTTTCCCCCTCCAACCTCCAGGAGTCGAGCATCTCGAAATCGTCCGACAAGCTCTCCGCGCGAAAATCGAACAATGGCAATCCGACCAACTCTCTTCCGCCGAGTCCAGCTCCCACCCTCATTCCGGTCGCCCATCAACCTACGGGCTCGACTCCACTATGATCACCCGCAGCGCCCAACAACACGAAGACCTCAGCCTCCGTCATCTTGAACTCGCCTTCAAGCATTGGGCCTCTTTGTCCCAGGAGATGCGTAGAGATGCTTGGCAACTCGAGATCACGCGCGCTTTCGCTCGCGAAATGGACAAGCGCAAATCCTTGGACGATCAGCTCGCCCGTGTCCAACAGGAAGCCAACCAGCTCCGCGCCCAGGTCGAACGCCTCGGTTCCTGCCAATGGCCGCGAGAGTTTGCACTCTTCCCGCCTGACACCTTGCCTCTTCCGCGGGATGTCGCCAAGGAGTTAGACGCGCATAAAAGCCCGATCTCCCCTGCCGCATCGAGATGGGATTACGACAGTGTTGTTGCGAAGTGGAAGCGAGTTGTGATGCATGATAAGGGAATGGGTCGCGTCGGAGTAGGCTACTCAGCCGCCGTTCAGCAGCAGCAACACCAGGATGATTTCTCGCAGACAGCGCCTCCTAGCACAGAGACAAGACAGCAGCGCAGTGCGACAGCCACAGCAGGCGATGACCGATCAGTCGGCAGAATGCTACACCCTCCGACAGGCGCCTCGGCCTTGAGTCCCGATCCTTCCCCAACGAATTCCGCCCCCAACACTAGCGCAGCACCCGTCTCATCATACCCGCAGCAGCAGCAGCAACAACAACAACAACAACAACAACAACAACAACAACAATCACAGCAACACCAGGACTCCGTGAATCGCAGCCCTGAAACGGGTCCTCATGCTAAACGCCCTCGTTTGATGAACGGCCATCATACGGCGACAGCAGCAACAGCAGCGCCATCCGCTGCCGGACATGATGCCCCAGAGGGCAACGTCCCTAGCTCTGGCGTACCTGTGCCATTGGCCTCGCCGACAGTAACTGCTGGTGCCGGCAGCACATCAGCCCAGCACTCCATCGGCTCCTCCAGCCTGTGGACCGCCCCGCAACAATCAGGTGGTGGTATCCCCTCGAACCCCACGGGTGCGACCTCCGGTACTTCCGCACCGACGCCGCCGCCCTCCTGCTCGGAGACGGCTTAATGGGTGTATCAGGCAACTCGCTTGCCTTGGGCACTTTTCTCATCCCGTCGAGTAGGACGTCTCGATAACTACGCCTTCTTGAGAAGACAAATCTACTCTCGTCATCCAGGAAATGAAGGTACAATCGGGTATATTCTCGTCACTGACGCAAGTCACTATATACAACCATCTATCTATCTACCTGCAATCCTTACTGAAAATGCATCCAATCTTGCCGCTGGGGCGAAGCAATAGTGAAAGGGCCCATACTTCCCCACGAGTACAGTTTCTAACAGGATGAAGCGCGAAAAAAACGCCATCCTGTGGCCAAAGGAGTGGTCTGTCATCTTGAGGATTGTTTCTGTTGTGTGTTGATACTCTTGTATATACGTTTTTCTCTATACATGATCCTTGAGATTGGACTCCATTCAGTCTATAACTAGCATTTTCAGTGTTTGTTCAGTCCCCAATTTGTGTCGCTAACTTGGCCCCATATTAAAAAACGAGTCGCATCTATGAGGACACTAAACCATTACCCCAACTCCCGAAGTCTTCTGTTTCAGTATGTACTTCCGCAGCACATGTCTGCGCATTTTGACTTGGCATCTTAAACAATCCACCACATCACCGATCCCGCGGAGGAGTTTTCGCGCTCTTCGCCTTCCGCTTACTAAACCACTTCCTGATATCCCCGATGCCCTGCAGATACAGCCAGGAAAAGAAGAAGACCGCCATGAAGTTGAAGACCACGAAGGCCCAGAAGATCCCCTGTATTTGGCAATCAGCTTCCTCTCGTTCTCAGGACCAAAAAGTCCAGCCAGGTTGGCTCAGCGGCGCAGGAAGGCATCGAACTTACATAATTTCGCCATTTATGCGAGTAGAAGACGTTGAAACTCGCGGCCTGGAGGGCACGGAGAAACGATATACGTTAATTTACGTACAGACTGCGTTAGGGGGAAGGGGGAAGACAACGAAGAGAGACATACAAAGACATCGCCATCGGCGTATTGGCAGAAGGCGCAGAGCCCGTTGGCCGCGTCTTGGACGTACCCGCCCGCTTGCGAAGCATAGGCCCCCGCGTAATCCTGGCAGGTGGAGCCCGGGGGCGGACTAAACAGGGATTCTTCGCGGGAGACGCAGCGAACGGGGACGTTGTGGGTGACCACGCCTAGGAATCCCTCGAGGAGGTAGTGGAAGGGGGTGAGCCAGTACATCCAGGAGCGCCAGAAGTGGACGAGCGCGGTGTAGGGGACGACGACGCCGCAGAAGGAGACGACGAAGGTGAAGAACGTGGGCACGAGGAGGGAGGCGAAGAGCTCGTTGGGTGCGAAGGCGGCGATGAACTGGCCGAAGCCGATATAGAAGGCCTCGAAGAGCATGAGCATCATCCACACGTAGCCGGAGCTGAACGAGTCGCGCGGGAACCAGACGCCCCAGTACCTGTGGTAATGTTTATTAGTTTGCGTAAACGGATAGAGATATAGGATTCGCTTGCCAGCAGTTGAAGTAGAGCGAGCCTGCGACGATCGAATAGGGCAATTCGGGGAGAATGGCGCTGGTCACGAAGGCTGCCCAGGAATAGATCTTGGAACCGGCCTCCCGAGACTGGTAGAGATCGCGGAAATGGAGGAACCGGGGCTGGAGCTGCTGGATCAGAGGCGGGCAGATGGTGAGGGTCATGAAGATGGAGAATAAACGGGATTGCATATCGATTTGGCTGTTGCCTAGGTGCCAGAAGGTGAAGGTGTTGAACAATCCGGTAAAAATGTGAAGGATGAATTTACCCTGAGAAGTTGTTAAGATTGATGGCTTATAGCAGTTTGAACACCACCTACCAGAACATATTGCGGTGTCCGCCAATAGGCAATGAAGGATCGTTTGGTGACCGCCACGATTTGTACCCAGACGGGCATTGCAAACTCGCGGTCATCATCTATTCTTTCCCCCTCTGCCTTGTCTCGACGTTCTCGGGTTATACTCTCGATAGTCTCTGAGAGTTGTCTGTGTTCTTCTGAATTGGCCCAAACATCACCCCAGTCTTGTCCTTTGTACTCAGGGTTCCCAGCACCAATGGCGTCGAGCATGTACTAGTTCAGTCAGCGAAACAGGTCGATGTAATAAAGAGAGCTGCAAGTACTTCGGCAGGGTTCTCGTGAGAGGCACACTTCCTGGCGCCATTGCTTTCGAAATAGTCAATGAGCTTCCTAGAATCTGAGCCCAGCTCAGCATTGTAAACGACTCTTCCTCCATTCTGTAGCAAGAGCAAATCGTCGAATTCTTCGAACAGAACAGCAGACGGCTGATGGATCGTGCATAGAATCGCTTGTCCGGCATCGGCAAGTCGTCGGAGAAAGCGTACAATATTGTAAGCGGCCAAGGAGTCCAGCCCAGAAGTCGGCTCATCAAGGAAGAGCAATAGTTGTGGCTTGCTTGCTAGCTCAACCGCAATAGTCAATCGCTTACGTTGCTCTGGGTTCAGCCCAGCGCCACCGGCCCCGACTGTTGCTCCTGCTATGTCTCTCATTTCCAGCAGATCAATGATTTTCTCGCAATAATCGTATTTTTCCTGGATTGAGACGTCGCTTGATTGACGAAGACGGGCCGAGAATTGAAGTGACTCTCTCACAGTAGCTGTAGGCTCATGGATGTCCATTTGCTCAGCAAACCCAGTGGCTCTTTGGAAACTCTTTGGAAGCGGCCTGGAGAACTCAGCAACAGCGAGAGAGCTGCTAGGATGAATATACTCACTTGCCATCAACAAGAAATGTACCCGTGACAACACCAAAGTTGACACGCTGCGCTAGTGTATTCAGAAGGGTTGTTTTCCTGGAAAGAAGGTGAGTTAGAATGCCGAGGAGGATAGTTGATTCATAGACTAACCCTGCTCCTGACGCACCCATGAGAGCTGTGAGACGACCTGGCTTAACGTATCCCTGGACGTCTTGGAGGAGTTTCTTCTGATTACCTTTATAAGGAATCGTATAATTCACATTTTGCCACGTGAAGATCGAAGTACTTTTCGCGATACCATGAACCTGCTTCTTCGATTCGTCCGAGTTCTTTTCTTGAAGACTATTGCTGCTCCCAGATTCGATATCACCCGGAAGCTCCTTGTATTTCACCGCATCCTCGACAGCTTTGGGTGCCTCTCCCCGCTTGAAGATGGTGACCGTGCTACCTCCCTTGTTGGGTTTCTGTAGTTCCATGCCTATCATGGTCAAGACGACGAAAAGTATGAACCAGCCGATGATAATCCCAAAGTTGCGCCAGAGATGAGATCGACTGTATGTGAAGGCCTCTTCTATATATCTGGATCCTTGAACGACCAGCTGATTCGGGGTGCTTCCTTGAATGGCGCACACTTGATGGCCTGCCTGCGCAGTCGGGCCACCTGGGAAAATAGCTGGTGGAACGCATTGTAGGTTGAGGTTGTAAAACTCGTTAGACATGATTGCCTCAAATGCGTACTGTACTGGATTGACCCAAATTAACCATTTGAACCAAGGATGCATCTTCCACGGAGGGATGAGGTATCCTGAATTGGTCAGTTGTTATATATCAATCGATGTTAAGGGCGGGACTTCAGTTACCGGTATATACGATCAAGATCTGAATCACGACACCGGTAAGACGCGTGGCTAAGAATATTAGTCCAGACTCTAAAGTCATTCGATATCTTACTTACAAACATCAAGGGAGCCAGTCAAGGCGCCGATGGTTCGGAACAAGGAATACATAGTCATGGTAAGCGTGAATATGAACAGAAAGTTGATAAAGAACTGGGACGCCGTCCTTTGAAGGTTCGACATGCTGCATTATTGTCAGCTACTGGTACACAGAGTTGGGTAAAGAGGGCATACAAATATACCACCAACTCGAAAAGAGTCACTTGGATGAAAATAATAGGCACATCAACGACGACCTGAGCCAGAGCAAATGCTGAGGGTCGATAAAAGGAACTGTGGAATTAGTATTGGTTGCTGCTGCTTTGATGCAGTACTCACAAAGTCTTGTGCTTCAGCATGATGGGCCGACTCGAAAAGAATGCCGTAAGTTCAGCCATGGCGAGAAGTGCATTGAACAAGAGGACAAAGAACAAGACACCGCCTCGCGTAAAAACACCGGCACTGTTGTACTGATTAGAGAGTCCACAATGGCTGGCATAAGTGCAGACAAACCTAGTCTGGGGAAGGTCATAAAACAGACTTCCAATGATCAATGCTTGGAACGTAAGCATGGCCCATTTGCCGATCAGTGTCTGCTTATCCCCATACATGATGAGAAACTGTCGCTGGGTCAATATGATAATTTGCTTGTAAAACGATACTGTGTAATTTTTTTTGAGCTTCTCCCTGGCAAGCTCTTGTTCTTCTCTGTTAACCTCTACCTCGTGTTCAAAATCCTCGATATCTTTCTGAGCAGCTTTGAAAATGTCACTGCGTCTATATGCTCTCTGGAAATCCTCCCCTGATCGAGGAATACGATCCTCCCACCCTTGCTTGACACGCCTTGCAAAGGGATCGCTGACCGAGGTCAGGAAATCCGGCGTTGTCCATCGAGGAGGACACTCAAATCCCAAGTGCTCGAAGTAAGCTTTCGCATTTTCCGTGCGTCCGTAGTATGCGCATTTTCCGTCCTCAATCAGTATCACCTTGTCGAAGAGGTTATAAAGGTTTTCTGAGGCTTGGTATAGTGCCACCAGGGTAGATGCATGCGACATGTCTGTTGAGCTTCTTAGGCTCTGAACATACTCCAGAGCCGTACTTGCGTCTAGGCCTTTCGTCGAATTGTCCCAGCATTGTGTGCTAGCCTTGGTGACCAAGGCTTCGCCAATGGAAACACGCTTCTTTTCTCCTCCGGAGATGCCACGGATTAGTTCATTTCCAACCTTTGTACCGAGTGCATGTTCGATCCAGAACAATTTGGCAATCGTGGACAGGAAGGTCTCCTGATACTGCTTCCTGGTTTCTCCCGGAAGTCGCGACTCCTGCCCTGGTGTCCTGCTTTTCAGCGCGAACATGAGGGTATCTCGGACTGTAAGCGTGGCATAATGGAGATCATCTTCCGGGTTGTAGAGCACTAAGGATGTCAGTACTGGATGACCAATACAAGAAATCAACGACGGAAGTTGAATACCTTCTGAGCGATATTTTTCACCCATTATCTCGGAATCGGTGCCTCCATACAGTACATCGCCTTTAACGCTCTTGTAGCCAGACCTCTGATTTCCTATAACTTTCAAGAATGTTGAGCACCCAGACCCGGGGCGACCCAGCACGAGAAGCATCTCTCC